ATGGCCTAAAGTCCTCTGAGAAGAAAGTCAGGGCTGAGGAAGTGCACAGCACAGATTGACCTCTGGGCATGTCTGAGGGTATTCTTATTAACTGATGTGGGAGGGCCCAGCCCACTGTGGGCACTACCATATGTAGGCAGGTGGTCCTGAGTCGTAGAAGAAAGTTCGTCAAGAATGAGCTTGGGAGCAAGTGCCTTTCAACTCCATGGTTTCTGCCTCCAAGTTCCTGCCTGATTCCTGCCAAGAATCTCTCAAAGATGGACTGCCTCCTGGAAGCGTAAGCCAAATCACAATTTTATTCCCCCACGCTTCAGGTCACTGTTTCAACACAACAGAAAAGAAACCAGAACAACCAGGATGATAAACACCTTACAAAATAAACAGACAACGATGTACAAAAAACAAAAACAAAAAACAAAACAAAACAAACAAACAAAAAAAAACCCTGGTTAAAATCCCATGCAAACGGGATAATAGCTTCATTCACTGATAAAGGAAGATTTAAGTACCTTTCTTTGCATCTGGTCAGAGCCCATTCCAGGCAACATGTCTATCAGTTTGAACATCTCACCCTTGAGTATGTCCACTGATGCACCCCCCTCCCCGCCCACTCCAGTGAACGGAGTAAACAACTTCGTCAGTCATCTCCTGAACCTCATCAAGACTGGAAATGTTCCAAGAATTCTCGTCTGCCTGCAAACCCACAGGCTGTCTTATAAAACAAGGTGGATTGGTTGTTTCTCACTGTAGCCAAATGCCTGACGAGAAGCAACTTATGATTGGGCTTATTTTGGCTTGACTTCAGAGCGTAGACCACCATGGCAAGAAGGCAGTTAGAGTCGCAGGAGCTTGGGACATCTGGTCACTTGGCATCCAGTCTGGAAGCAGAGAGAGAAAGAGTGGTACCTAGCTTTATTTTTCTTTTTATTCAGTCCTAGATCCTAGTCGTGGGACAGGTCCACCCATGTTACTCTCTGGAAATAGCCTCACGGACATGCCCAAATTCTGCCTCCTAGGTGATTACAAATCAAATCAACTGGACAATGATGAAAGACCACATAAAATATAAATCTCCTTCAGATCTGCAATCTTGACTTCCTCCCATTTCCTCATGTGCTCAGACCAGCACTAGGGATTCGGCTTTCTCCCCCATTTTGCCTGGATCTCACAGCTGTCTTGGTCTGTCCTTAGGACCCTCCATTTATCTTTCACATAGGCTGGGGCCAAGTTGACCCAAGAATGTCAACCAAAACAAACCTACTTTCTTGTGTTTGTTTCCATTCCTCAGCTGGTAAGCCCATCCACACACGGCACAACCATATCCACTGGCTCCAGTGCCGATGAACCTCCCTTTAGCTTGTTCCTTGACAGCCTCAACACTGGCTGGCAATTGTTCCTTCATTTTTGTCTGTTCCCATGTCTATTCCCAGATGTCTTCTCAGACTCCAAAGTCCTCTTGCTGCCTGCAGAATATGAGGTTTTTCTCAATGGTTATTAGCATATGTGAAATATTTTCTTTTTGGTTTATTTGCTTATTTATTAAAGGCAGGTTCTTGCTGTATAGCTTAGGCTGACCTAAAACTGGCCATCTTCCTGTCTCAGCCTTCCAAATGCTGGAATCACAGACAAGCATTACCAAGATATAACACAGTAGGGACCAGGCAGGTGGTTCAGTTGGTAAAGAGCTTGTCATAACTTGGATCCACAGTAGCCATATAACAAGCTCCAGGGATGGTAGGTAGTGTGTGCTTATAATTCCAGTTCTTGGGGAGAGAGACAAGTCAGTCCCTGAGCTCAATGGCCAGCCAGTCTAGCTTTCCAGGCAAGTTCCAGGTGAATGAGAGACCCTGTCTTAAAGGGGGGCGGGGTGACTCCTGAGAAACTATAGCCAAGGTTGTCATCTTGCCTCAACAGGCATGTGGGCACATGTACAGATGTAACACAGTAGATTGTTTTCTAGAAACTAAAGTCAGCTAGCACCGTCTTTATCTCCAAGATGAACTAACCCTCCTCATTGTCAAGCCTGCTGGGCACTGCCTCAAGCCTTCCCACTTTATCAAGGCCCACTCTGGTGTTCTCTTACTCCAGGGGACATTCCTCTTTCTCCAGCTTCTCTGCTCACACTCTAGAATGCAGCACCTCAGCCCCCAAGGTAATCCCATCCATCCCCACAGCCTCCTTTATTTCTGCCGTGCACTGGTTAAGACCTCAATTACACGCGGTCACCCAAATGCCAATGTCTACATTTCTCTGGACATTCCTTGCAAACTGCAATCTCAGCATGTCACAACCAACTCTCTGACTTCCTTCTCTGCACGCCTCTCTAGGTTTAAGGAAATAACATCCACCTCTTTCCTCAAGCATCTTGTAAGTGAGGGTGTGGTGATGAATGCTGAACACAGCACTTGTAGACAGCTACAGGAGGATCACAACTTCAAGACATCTTTTGCTACAATAGAAAGTTCAAGGCCAGTCTGGGCTACCTGGAACTTCAAGTAAAAAATGGGGAGAAAGAAAATTTCCAGAATTGAAGACACAGGCCCACAAACTGAAATTGCACACTTAATCCCAAATTGGAAGGAACAAACCAGAGTGAGAGGGGAAAAAATGCCTGGAGGGTAAAATCAAGAAGTTAAACCATCCAGTGAAATGACAAGTCGGCCTGCAAAGCAACTCACACAGAGAGCACCAGCATGTTCATCTTCTGCAGTGTCAGACAACACAAGACAGGGCTGAAAATCTTCGGGGGTGGGGTGGGCAGTGACATCAGCGGTCAAAAGTGCTTGCCAGCAAAGCTGACCCTCAAGTCTGACCCCCAGGGACACACGTGCTGGAAGGGAGAGTGGATTCCTGCGAGTCGTGGCACACATTGGCATTCTCCCAAACACACAGAGAATCAAAGAAGAAGGGAGTAAAGGGTGGACCCAGAGTCCCAAAGCCTGGTATGGGCTGTTGCAGACACGGAGGGTTCAGCAGCTCCCACTCAGTGCGTACACCCCAGGAGACGAGCCAAGCACGGTTGCACAAGCACTCAGTGAGACTGACCAGGCTGCATCTCACCTGGGTAATAAGACAAGATGTGCGAAATGTCCATATTACCCAAAGCTCCCCTGGCCTAGTGGAGCGCGGCCAGGGCTTGGTGTACACAGATGAGGCTACAGTGAAGGCTAAGCCAGGAAGGCACTTGCCTCACAGCAGACAACCTGGGGCGGATCCTCAGAACCCAGAACAGGTAGAAGAAAGTTGACTTTGTAAAGTATCAGCAGGACTTCAAAGAGCGACTTTTCATTGTTTTCTTAAAAGGTACTCAGTTTTCAGAGGCCCAAATTGCTATGAGTCCACATAATGAGAGCAGAGACACACCACTGACAATGTTTACTACAGTCCTAAGTGCAGGAAGTTGATGTGGTTGTCAACATATTAAAAACTACTTTATTTTTGCCAGGATTATTTTTTTCCTGTTTAAAATTATCATTTTTGAAACCTTGACTCAAAAAACTAAAAAAAATATTTTCATTTGATAATTCTTCTATCCCAAAGGATTTGCTGAGTCTCTTTCATCATTTCTTAGCATATCCAACTACCTGTACTAATTTTGTAAGATTAGCCAATAGTCTCAAATCCTAATATTTATCATGAAGAAAAAAGGACTCACACACGGTGATAATTACATATTTAATACATCTTGCTTTCAACAGCAATTTTCAAAGTAAACATATCATAGACCTTATAACTTATTAAAGATTTTATAGTGTTTACAAATTTGATTCTAAAAATATACCTTATTTGATCTAAATGAATAACATCTGAAAGACAGAACAGTAAATGATAGCAGTGTGTTGGCCACTCCTATCACTAGGCTTGCGGACACACATTCCATATGGAGTATTCTTGGGATGTTCGCACTCTTAGCCTGAGAACACAAAGCACATCACACTCTGGCGTAGATTTCAGCACTGCTTTGAAAGAAAACAGCTTTAAAGTATCTACCTGACACTGTAGGAAAGCATGGGCACATGCACACAGACACATGTATACATTTTCTCTCACACGCTCAACACATAAGCACACACACCACAGTATTCTGAAGAATTTACCCTTGTATCCAGAAAATTGACAATTCCAGGAAGGAAAAGCAAGTGGAAAGTCAGCTGATATACTTAAACCATAAACGGCAGGAGTTGTTAATGAGATGTGCCAGGAGCTCTGTGACGAACTCTCTCAACTTACTCTCCACGGACGGGACCATTCAGCAGGAGACATCAGCACTCAGGGAGTTATGCATCCACCATCCTCAGACTGCACTTGTGAAGGTAACAGACTCAGGCCTGCCAGAGCCAGGCAGATAAACGGCCCAGTCCCACCGGCATTACCTGCCTTCAGAACCTTCATGTTGATCTGCCTGGTGTTCCTTAATTATCCATGTGCTAAAGCGAGCTTCAGTAACGAGTAATAGCTAATATCACTTTGGTTTCTGTGGCATACAGTATTCCCCAAACACATTTATCTAATCAAATCCCCTAAGTTTTAGCTATTTATGTTTTTCCAAATTTAGACACAAAGCAGGTTAATGTTGGTCACCTCCCCTAACATCACACACAGCCCTGGTAAAGTCTGTCAACATAGAAAACTATTCTTTGGATTCCTGCAGCCATGCAGCCAACACCATTCTATGGAAGTTCATCATCACCACAGTTAAGACTTGAACTCTCTGACACAACGGCGACAGAGACAAAGCGCACGTGGGAGCTCGTAATGCACACAGCTGACGAGAAACAGAGGGCACGGCAGTCAGTGAGAGGGGAAGACCAGCTACCCATCGCGTTCTGTTTGGTTTGTTTTCAGCTTTCTTCTTCTGTTTCACTAAATTTCTAAACTGTCCAAAGCACTCTTAGTCTCTGTGACAGTAACAGCGTAGTTTGGCACATCAACATTGTGAAACAACGCATGGTATGTCTAAAAAATTTAGAAATTTCATGTACTCATAAACATATCTTTCATGTAGTGCACATATATCTTACATTTATTGAAATCAAATACCGAAAGGTTGGTAACTGATTTACAGAAGCAATCACAGACTGCAGAAACGTGTGTGTCACACACACCAATCCAGGAAAACTGCATCCTCGCAATTTCACAGTCCAAAATTTCGCTGGTGCGCCTAGCAAATACGCGATGCTTTCCCATGGCTTCCTAGAGAAAAGACAGATTCTGCCTTCTTCATTCTTGATGAGATTTTTCAGGAATAACTTTACATTCATACTGCAAAGATTAAAAGGTCAAAAAGTTAACAGATTTAAAATCACTTGTGAACTGCAACTTCCAAACAAATTAAAAGCTAGAAAAATAAATGTTTTAATATGTTCACTTCATTCTTCAAAGAACTAAGAGTTGCACAATGTCATTCAAGGTGAAAATCTGCAGACAGCAGTGGAGGACAGCAGTGGAGGACAGCAGTGGAGGACAGCAGTGGAGGACAGCAAAAAGATGACTATTCCCACACTGTGCGCCACCGCAGCTGGTGATGTGGGAAACCTGTGACACACAGTGCTCACAGCCCAGCCAAGGACAAGCCATGAATTTCAGGACAGTGCTGAATTCAAGTCATTACTTCAAATCACTCTATGAGTTAGCAGAAAAACATACTATGATATAAAGAATACAAATTAAAACAATATTCTAAAAGTATAACTACCAAAATGAATAGTTAAAAGTCAAAAGAAAGGAAACACACAGAGTTAGAACTGGGTGCTCAGAGTATCAAAATGACAGCAAGTAAACCACTGTTCTCCCAGATGGCCAAGCTCAAGTGAAAGCAGCTGCTGCGGCCTCCGAACGTCACTGTGTAACTCTTGCCACATGACCGGGGTGGGGGTGGTATCACAGTGTGTTTCCATTCGTAACTAAAAATGAGTATCTTGGTCAGCTTGAGATAGTCTTAATTTACAAATACTATATAATAGGCCCTCTTCATTTTAAAACTGCTCTTTTATCAGGGGCTGAAGCTGTGGCTCAGCTGAGAATGCTTGCTGAGTATGAAAGAGGTGGTACAGACCTATAATTCCAGCACTCAAGAGGTGGAAGTAGAAGACCAGAAATTCAAGGTCATCCTAGGCTACAAAGTGAGTTCAAGACAAGGTGGGCTACTTGAGACTGTATTAAAACAAAAAAAATATTATTGATGGAATGGAAAACTGTAAACTAATAAAAACAAAGCAACAAAAATCAAATATCACTATATGGTCAACCAATTCTACCACACTACCCATAACAAATTTTTCCTTTTCTCTCTAGTTGTTCCTCAAGTACTAATACTCCTCAGATTAAATTCATCCAAATGATTTATGTCAATGAAAGCACAAAAGGGCGTTCAAAGAATCCTGTCTTAATAAATGCTTTCCCTTGAGTGATGGGCATTTTGAGAAACGGTATCATGCAACTCAACCCTGCGTGGGCCTCAGCTTACCATTGCCAGTTGACGACCAATGTTTCCCATTGTTATGCCTCCAGCAAAAAATATACATGGCAACCAAGAACGGACATAGAGAAAATCTGGAGATGTGTATCTAGAATAACAGAAACATTTAATAACCCACAGAGCAAGGACAAGGGCACTCAAGACAAGCATAATGAAGATAAGTGATTCTATACATTAAACTGGATAACCCCATATTATCATTCAATTTTGAATGCAGTTATTGCTGATTTACACAGCAACCAGGTAGAAAGAGGGACAGCACTTACTGATAAACACCATTGTAGACTAGCAGTTGGGTGACAACAGTAGCTAAGAAGGCGATTCCAACACCAAGGCCAAAACCACTTCTTGATCTGTCAAAAGTCCACCACAGTCCTACCGACAGCGCAGCCAGCGTGAGGGAAAACTGGAAGTTGTTGTCAAAATCTACTTTCTGAGACCAGTGTTAAGGAGCCATCAGAAAACAAGGAAGCGGGTGATATCAACTGTTCACTTCTCTAAATAAGAGGCCCCTCTCGAGGGACTTGATTCTTCTGGAGTGTCCGCAAACTTCTATCACAACACATGAAGACAGGTGCGAGTAAAACTATGTCTACATACGAGATACAGAGGGCACTAATTAACATTTCCTACCTTCTTATAACCCATCCAGGGAAAAAAGGCTAATTGTAAAGTCAGGCACTCTTTAGGAAGTGCCTTTGTGTCTAAACATGTAACCGTGCACTTTGGATAACAGTGCTAACAGAACACACCTTTGGGGGAAAAAAAGAAAGAAAAGAAAACCAATAATACTTTTCAAAAAGGTTTAGAATTACTTGAAAATCATACAGGAACCTGGAAATAGAAGAGCTGACAGCTATTTAACAGGGTACCACATTGTTGTGTGATTTACTGACAGACACATTTTATAATAATGCAGTTCAGAACAAGAGCACCAAGGACATAGCAGCCCTTCTATTATGTCAACTGCTCTGGTTTTAATTTGTTGAGGATAAAGCCTTGAAGTGAACATTATCTTCCCCCCTGCCAAACTATTCTGGTGCCTGCGACTTTCTAGCAGGGCACTCTGCTCTGATGATATTTTATTTCTGGTGCACACTTAGGCATCTATTCACAAATATATGGCCCCTTTTACTCAGGAATCTCTGAGGAGAATGAAGCTTTACGAATTCAATTTTCTGATTTTGGGGGGAGGCTAGAGGATTACACTAAGAAAATTAGTTCTGCCATTAAAAAGGCATTTTCTATGCTCCAAAGGCTCCACCTTGGCCCTGTAACTGGTTCGTTGTTGGACTAGAAATTGGATCAAAGTCAGTACTATGAAAGTCTTTTCTTTCTTTGCCCCCCAAAACATGCCCATGAAACCATTTCCTGATTCTAGTTACCAACCTTTCCCCACCTTTCCCACTAAAGCAGCATATAAAACCCCTGCTGGCCAAGTCCAGGACTCTGAGGACAGCTGTATGCCACTCTCTTAAGATCAGTCCTTGTGAGTGGCTGGTCTATCAAGCAAACTAACAGTTATCTGGGCAAATTTCTTTTTTTCTTTTAGCTATTCTTGTATGTACACTCTAAACACAAGGTTCTCAGCATTGATTAGATTGCCTGAAGATCAAAGTGCAGAGCTAGCCACACTAGTTAACCATAGAGGCCAGGCAGCAGTGGCACACACCTTTAATCCCAGCACTGGTAGGTGGAGACTGAAAGTGATCAGGCTGGGCAGAGAGGAATATAAGGCAGGAGGAGACAGGAGCTCAGGATTCAATCTGAGGACTTGTAGAGAAAGGATCGCCCATCCAATCTGAGGATTCGGATTCGGTAGAGGTAAGAACTAGTGACTGGCTGCTCTGCTTTTCTGATCTTTCAGCATTTACCCCCTAATATCTGACTCGGGGGTTTTATTGTTAAAACCAATTAGAATTTGTATTACAAGAGGAATTCACATAAATAACAGGAGACAACAATAATGGGTTTCATCTTGCTAACTAAATTATTTAGCACAATAAGGAAGCTTTTAGGGTAAATCAGTCAAATATATCAATTTCAGAAGCTTTACCTTGCGGTTTTCCAAGGTCTAAGTAACCTAATATGAAAAGTCTTTGCTATAAATTTTGTAAACATCTTCTATCTTCTTTAAAGGGTAGACATGACAGGTAAGATTGCTATGTTTAAATATTTCACTTAGAAACAAAAAAAAAAGTGAATGAAGCCAAAAATGCATATTGTATGCAAGGCTTTTAAAGCTGTAGAAAGGGCTATTTAAATCTCCTACCTACAAAGAAAACACTCTTTTGGGGGGAGACAACTAGCAGGTAGAGGGACTCCTGTGCCAGCAGGAGGACAAGTTAGAATCCCAGCACCCACATGAAAAAGTTGGCAGGAGAGTGCAGGTAGGGAAAGATGTAAGACATATAGAAGCTTAGTACTTTGTAAGCTAATTAGAATTGTAAGAGAGAGAGAGAGAGAGAGAGAGAGAGAGAGAGAGAGAGAGGTGGGGGGAGGGAGGATGAATTAGAAGGGAGATATCGTCAGGTGTGAGACACTTCTGATGAGTTGCTGGCTAAGAAGGCCCCGGAGGCTTCAAAAACCATTCAGGCTCTTGCTATTCCTCTTGGTAACCTACCAGAACTAGTTGGTGATAAGACCCTGTTGAAGATAACACAGGAGTACTTTATAATTGCAAGGTGAACAGAAATCAAGCTACAACTCAGTTGGAAGTGTCCCTCTGCTGGCCAGCTTTACTAAAGCGAAAGGTGTTCTACCAGTTTGTCGGAAGAAAAAGGCATCTTACTGATCTGTGAGCTGTAGATCTGCAATACTAATCTGCTAGGCAAGACAGGTGCACAAGTGCAACAATGGTATCACTGTTATGGGGGCACCAACCACTCTCTTCCTATATTCCAAGCTCTGTCCACAAGAGGGAATTCATACCTGTGCTGTAAACTCAGTCAGGAACCCAAGGTTATGGAGGATGGAGGACTCAGGCTCTAGAGATGACACTACTGTTGTTAAGCTGTCACGGTGCCGTGCTGTCTTCTAACTAAGACATTTAAACCCATAGATAAATGCAACTTCCATCCTGGAACAGAGAAGCCTCTTATTGCAATGAAATGAATGGGCAAGGGGTAAATAACGAGATAGGTGGCTGCTCAAAGTGCCAAGAATAAGAGATGATTGCTTGTTCTACGAAGGACTTCTGTACGACTCCCTGCAAGGTTCAGAGGTCATGGTAGAAGAGGATGTGGGAAGAATATAAAGAGCCTGGGACGAAGAGGAGAAGGCAGTGAATACTGTCTTCTGAACATGGCGCAGCTAATGCAGAGATGATTTCTCAGGTGTGGCTGTCTACAACAGACCTACTGATGTCAATCATGAATAGAGAGAGGCTCATGGAGTCCTTCCTCCACCTCTCCCTGCTGAAGTACTGGCTTCTGGTGGACTACAAGGGAGAGAGTCATCCTCTTTACATGTGTACACACTAAGGAGCCCACCAACCTCCAAAGGATACTTCGAAACCCATTGCCAGGCAGGGAATCCTGGTGAAATTCAGTGGATCTCCAAATAAAGAAGAAAACGAAAAGCCAAGGAAGTGAACTTGAGAGAGGAGAGATAATGGGAGTAGAAGAGAGAGGAAAGGGAGGTGGGGTCACAGCAACTGGAGTGTGCTGTACACAAAATGTATAAAACTGGCCTAGAACAAACAATAAAAATTATTAAAATGAAAGAAAGGTAGATCAGAAGTCAGGATGAGAATATGAGCATCACTGGTAAGGATGCAGATTATATTGAAACAGGTTTAACAAATTGGTCGCATTGTTTCAATGAAAAATACAAAACAGTTATGTTAAAACAAAATTCCCAAAATACCAACAACTACGACCAAACAAAACAAAACAAAACTCTAGAGGCTAAAGCAGAGGGGTCAAAATTCAAAGCCAGTTAGGGTTAGCTAGCCTAGTAAGACGACCCTAATCTTATAATCAAGTTGGGGAAAGGAATGTGCTTTTTGGTGTTGATTAAAACCAATAAATGTCAGCATAACTTCTTTAAAAATATACTTTTTTAAAAGAGTACCTAAAACTATCAGGGTCCTTACCTGCAAATCCTAAGTGAAGAAAAGTGGGGTGGGGGGTTTAAAAATGTACCTGTTTCATTTTTGAATTAACAAAATATCATGTAAGGAATTTAGCAGCCTAATGAGCAGAATTTCTACACAGAACTGACAACGAGCTGAGGCAAGGCCCTACCCGCCTCTAACCCTCACACTGGCTACCCTGGGTCAACAACTGGGTCAGCACGGTATTGTGAATAGGGGGCTGCAGGCTGCCTCATTCCTGCAGGTTTCATCAAGGATACAGCACTGGCATGATTGATACCCACGAACACCGCCACGCAGCGCATAACACTGGACCACTCTCTCTTGAATTTATGTGGTTCTCCTAGATGCCTGTCAATGCAGGGGTACAATAACCCAATCACAGCTGTGAAGAGAAGACAAAAACAGTAAGTCTTCACCAGCACTGCACTGGCAGCAATCACTGCAGTCACTGCTTCAGGATCCTTCCAAAAGAAAACTGTATCCAAACGACTGAACACTGCTGGCATCTTTAAACTTACCTTCCAAAGGAAAACACGAGTTTCCCAGTGCAGAGAGCTCCGAGGAAGCTGCAGCACTCTAAGGGCTACACACTTGAGAAGAGGACTCACAAGGAGCCCGAGACACCAAGTCAGCCCACGGCTACCCTTAGTTACCCTCTCCTCACGTAGGTATGCTATTTATCATAAGCAGAAGCTACAGAGAAGGTAGGCAGTGGGCCTGTAAACTCCCATGCCAGGCTCCCAGGGTCCTCACGGCCCTGCTGGCTGGCTTCCTGTCTGGTACCCAGCACTCTCTGACAGTGTTCCCCCAGTCCTTCTCACAGCACTACTCGGACAGCAACAAAAGACTACAGGCAATATTTCTGCTATACACAGAAAAAAGGAAGGACATGGGGAACAGAAAAATTACAAACTTGCTAGGTATGACAGTACACACCGTAAATCCCAGCACTCAAGAAAAAGCAGGCAGATCTTTGAGTTCAAGGACATAGTCAAACCCCTGTCCAAAAACAAATTAAAAACCTACAGATTTACAGATAATATGTAAGTTTGCTGTTAAAGGTAAGAAGAAACATCCTGACTCCTACCTGGGTAAGTAATCATGAATACAGTGCCTGTGTGTAAGATATCCATGACTAAGACCTCCACTATTCTCATCCTATTCCTACCTCTATTTACCAAATCTCAACATCTTACTCACTTAGAAGACATGAAATTTATGTGTACCTTCATGAATGTCTTCATGGAACATGTGGAGACCAAAGAATAAGCTTAGCTGTCATTCCTCAACCACCACCCACTTTGTTGTTTACGACAGGGTCTCTCCCTGCCCTGGAACTAGGTTAATGACCCAGTAAGCCCCAGAGACCTACCTGCATGCGTCTCTTCTGCACTGCATTACAAGTAAGGACCACCAAGCCCACCTTTTTTATCTTTTCTTTTTTAATATGAGTGATGAGTGGTCAAACAAAGGTAGATCCTCATGTTCCCAAGGCAAGCACTTCACTGATTGGGCTATCCCAAGCACACAAGAAAAAAATTTATTTATTTGCTAAAGATTACTTTTTAAATTTGTGTGTAAATATGCATTTGGGTGTCCATGGAGGCTAGAAGAAGACATAGGGTTCCCTCAATTATAGGAAGTTGTAAGCTACCTAATGTGGGTGCTGGGAACCAAATTCAGGTACTCTGAAAGAACAGTAAGCACCCTTAACGATTGCACCATCTCTCCCCACAAATACACACCCTTTCAAAATTTAAATATAAATTAAAAGAATAAAAAAGAAAACTTGAAACCAATTAGTATCCAAAAAGCACAGTCAAGTAGAGCACAGAGCAGCACGGGAAAGAGCCAACCAAGCTACTCTCACCTGGTGATGAGACTGGAGCTCTACGCTCTTCCCACCTCAGCTTTAGTAGAGAATGGATGACTCACAAGCCATCCTGAGACCAGTGACAAAGCTCGGCAATGCACAGAGAGCTCCAATGGCTGCTAGAAAATGTAAGCTTCAGGGCCTGGGTGATAGTTCGGTTTGTGAAGTGCTTGCCTTGCAAGCCCAAGGAACTGAGTGCAAACCAAAATAAAAAAAACCTAAAGTGGACTGTGTCTGAGGAGTAATAGCTGAAGTTATCCTTGCGCCGCCACATAGATACATGCATGTGTACCTGCACATGCATGAAAATACCATGCACACACACAAAGAAAATCTAAGTTATGGTCCTATTTGAAACACACTACTGAAAAATCTCACTGGATTAAGTGACAGCATTTATAAATTTCCACATGATTAAAATGACAAGCATGCCTAATAATTGAAACATGTCTAAATGATACTTTTTCCTCAAGGGGTATCACAAAACAGTTCATCTGTCATTCCATCATTCTCTGAATAACACATACATAGATGCACCTACCTACATATCACCTATCTACCATCTATCATCCACCCATTCACTATCTATCATCCATTATCATCTATGTATATACCAATTAATTTCTCCTTAATCCCCTGCATCTTTCTGTTTGCCTGTAGCTGAGTAAAAATCCAACAAGAGCAGGAATTCCAAGTCAATTCCAAGTCATTCTCAGCAGCAGATGCCATGGGTAAAGAATTATTACATAGAGATGCTGACATGTATGTGCAAAAATATAAGTAAAACCGACTACGCTCCTATGCAAGTGAGAGACAACTGAGAAGAGAAAGTGAAAACACAAAGAAGGAATTTAAACAGCCACGCTGCCAACCTTGGGATTTGCCAATAAAAAACCAAATCCGTTGAGTATACGTGGTGCTCAGCTGCTCACTGAGAGAGAGAATTTGGGGAAGCTTGTCACTTCCCATTAAATGTCTTTCTTTCTTTCCTTTAAATAACAGCATGGCAGAGTCTGATAGGAATATACACAGCGCAGTGAGGATCCACTGTCTGAGAGCTCAGTGGAGTATGTCTGGGCTGCTGCTTCTCTCTGTACCATTTTTTTTTTTAAACAAGAGACTTAAAAATCATGCTGTGTAAAATCATATGCAAATACAATTCTGCTTAATCAGATGGTTCTCTGATGTAAAGTCACATGTCTTCTGATATCTTTAAGTGATTCCCGGTAAGTCTGCCCAGATCACAGACAAAAGGAGTCTGTGAAGCACCAGTAGTAAGCCATCACTCTCTCAGGGCCGTGTGCTCAGTGCAGTGAGGCAGGAAGGAACACAGTTAAATTAGACATCCAGCAAGGAGCGAGGCTGAAGACAACCAGACCACTCAGCAAGACACTCTTCCATGGAGACTACAACAGAAGCGGATCATGTTCCTTTCAGCAAACACTTAAGCCCTATAATGTATCTTGTTCTTGGTATTTCCCGGGGATTTTAAAAGAGAAAAAAGGGGCTGAGGAAATGGTTGAGATGGTAAAGTGCTGCTGTGTAAGCCCAAGGACCAGAGTCTGAGATCCAGAATCTACTTCACAGACACACACACACACACACACACACACACACAACTCCCCCATACACAACACACACACAAACCACACATACAACTATCCCATACACAAGTACAAACACAACTACACACACAACATACACATAACCACAAACACACACACAGTGGTGACACTTGTAACCCCTCACTGAGACAGAGACAGGCTGATCCCTGGGGTTTGCTGGCCAGCCAACCTACCCCTACTTGGTGAGTTCCATGCCAGTGGGGAATGAATTCTATCTCAAAAAAAAAAAAAACAAACCAGAAACGTATAGAGCATCTGAGAATAACAGCTGACGTTGTCCTTTGACCTGCACACACACACAGCACAGACATGTATACATTAATAAACAAGAGGGTGTATTTTCATGGCAAAGGGACACAGACACTACTAAGTGCTGATTGAGTACTGACAAGTTGCTGAGGGGCTCTCATCTTTTTCCTGCACATGAGGAGAGTAAAGTGTTGGGCTGTCTGGAAAGTTCTAAAGAAGTGACTCTGCATGCAGAAGCATGGAAACAATTCTCTCATCTAAGGGAGGCACCTGAAGGAACCAAAGCACAACCAGAAACAAACACCATTACCAGAAAACTGTAAGATTTGAGCATGAAGGGAGGCTTGGGTACAGAAAGGCTCAAAGTATTAGAAAAGCAAAAGTATGTCACAAAAAGGTTTTAACACTGTGTATATTAAAGATTTGGGAACACACTGTGTCAGAGACAGGCAATTATTCTTACAGCCGAGTGCTCAACAGAACACAGGGAAGTGAGATGGGTCAAAACAAAACAAAAAAAAGACTACCAAGCCCAAGGGGTGGGGAGCCAGGACCAAAGGGAACAGTGCAAACGGTGCAGGCTCACCATGGGACTGGGATGGGGAAGGATGGAGACCTCTCTAGGAAAGGGCTGAGGAACCAATGACTAGAAGAATCCTTTACATGACTTCCACAAGCTTGGCTATTTGTGATTTTGGAGACAACTTCTCTACTTCTTTTAGCCACAATATAGCAACTGTCTTTTAACATAGTTATTCTATGGAGCCAGCAGTGGTAAGCCTCTAATCCCAGCACCCAGGAAGTGAACGCTGGACAATCAGGAGTCCAAGGTCAGTCTCACCTACAGAGTTTGAGGTCATCTTGAGATGGATGAGATTTTTATTTTATTGTTTCAAATGTAACAAGACATCTACTACATGGCCAGATGAGAAGATATCCTTTATACACGGCTCCAGTCCCGGCTCCAGTGCAACACACATATAAAGAAGTCCATGACAACACCAGCCTTGCTAAGCTTGTTTAGACCCTTCCAATGAAGACATCACACACTTTGGTCACAAAGCATGGAGAAATCAGGCTGGTACTGACAGGAAGCTTCCTCCATGCTGGCTGGCTTTCACAGTACTGAAAGGAGCTGCGAAGGCTCGGGGGGAACTCACCAGCAGTGTCACTCAGCTGTGAGCCCTGAGCCACAGTAACTGGCATGGTAAGATAGGTCCATGGGTGCAAGAACAGCAAGAGTGTTAAGGGAATCCGTAGAGGAAAGCGCATGCCAAGAATGTAAATCTGGCCAAGAACCCAGAGCTGGGGAGCTCACGAGCCCCAGAGGTGAGCCTACTGCTATTATTTCGTTAAATGGACATACTGTCCAGCTACCCTCTAAACCTGTATCCCTGTGGCCATAGATTAGGGCAGCTATCACATCTCATTGGAGAAGCTTCTTTGTGTTAACACAGAAACACACAACTGGTCACAGCACAGAGAGTAAGTGTCCACGGAGCACTCAGGCACAAACGGGACATCTCTATCACAGCCCCTCACGCCAAGGCTGTAGAGCCATCAAAGGAGACCTATCTACAGTAGAAAGACTGTAAGCACCAATGGTCAGCGAGGACCCTGGTGAGACAACATCTGGACATTACAGGCTGTGGTACTAATGAACTCAGCTGCTGCGGCTGCCTGCAAAAGATGATGCCTGTCAACATTTCAGCATGGAGCAGGGAACACTCTCCAGCTTCCACCCCTAGCTGAGGAGATACTGACAGTTGATGGCTGCTGGGAGAGGAAGAATCAGTTTTCTTTAAGCCTGTGTCCCCAAGAAGGTCAGTTCCTATCGAGTGGCTAGGCCCACATTAGAACATGGTGAGCACAAACTGTCCTTGGAGTTTGTGAGATTAAGAAAGGAGGCTAAAGGTGAGGCTGTGCAGTGGGGTTGGGGGAGGAAGAGGGAGCAAATATGCTGAAAACACACTGGACAGGACAGGTGTGGAGGCACAGTCTTGAATTTTAGCATTCAGGAGGTAAAGGTCAGCCTGGTCTACACTGTGAGTTCCAGACCAGAATTACACAATGGGACCCTATCTCAAAACAAACAAAAAAGCAAAATTCCATATGCATGAAAGTCTTAAGAGTTAACACAAATAGTATATCTATTTAAAATATATACATATACAAATAAGATTATGTAACAGAGCAGGTTGTATTTATATATTTAGGGATGTGTGTGTGTGCGCGCATGCGCACGCATATGTAAAACAACAATTACAGAAATAGAGGGCATGAATTTGAGAGGGCAAGGTAGGGCACATAGGGAGGGCTACAGGAAGGAAAGGGAAAGGGGGAGACTAGATGGTGAAGTGGATAGTTGCCCGATCTAGGAAACTAAGTGGTGAGGCTGCACACTGAGCTGCACCTTGAAGGAGAGAAAAGAACTAGAGTTATTGAGAAACTTTTTCTCTTCTGAATTTAATGAAGGAAACTATAGGTAGATCAGCAGATACAGTAGAATGATAAGACACAAGTTCTCATTTATTTGGACGATTTCTTAGAGAAGGATTACCCCGGGAAAACAAGGACACAGTGATAACTTCTCTTGACTGAGGGCTCCATCGGTTCTAAGGCTACCTAAGGCACGAGGACTCTGACTGCAACAGTGATCATCTGTCCATGCAGCAGGGGTATGTCACTGTCCAGCAGGCTTCATGGAATTACTTGAAGATATGTACAAGTTGGTCTCAGCCTTTGGACACACGCTCTGTAACCCCTAGCTCTAGGATGGCGATGCACCCACAATGTGTCGCACAGTATTTGTGTGCACTAAGTACAGACATAGAACCATTTTCTCCCACAAGGCTATGACTACCTTCTATTACTTTATTACATAAAGTATTGTTGACCCATTGACCTTCTCATTAGACACAGCTGAAGAGCTGCCCATTCCAGATCATCTGGAAATGCTCCCCTTAGCCATCAATGGTCCTCTACTGAAAATGGTCAAAGCCACTAACAGGACTATCAGGATTTCAAGCAAAGACAGTCTACCTCATTGATCTTTTCAAGTATTCACTATTTCTTCTGGTACATTTAAAGACCAGGCAGCAAGAATAAAAGCATATATAAATTAAAAATACCGCATCAAGTTTTCACCTTGAATAAAATTACTCCATATAACACGGTTTTGTCTATTTCAAACACAAAATTATAGCCCATACATCAAAACTTTTAGGCAGTAGTGAATATTACCAAAACAACTTAGAATAATATTTAGATGAAATGCAAAAAAGGTAAATGCCCTACACCCAAAGAAAACGAGAACTGGTTTCATGGTTAAATGTTAAAGGTGCAGGAATCAGGTACCCAAGAGTGCCTACCGGCTGACTCCAAGGGCTACACTGAAGGCAGAGACAATCCTGAAGGACAGAAAGCAGGGCCACTGTAGCCCGAGGCCAGGGTACAAAGGAATGCAAGAGAGCATAAAAGACTGGGAATGACAGACATGCTCCACAGCTGGGAGCGGGAGCACAACATGATGGCATACATGTACCAAACATACCAAAGTCACTCACAGAGTCCACTGCACTCTATTTAAATTATATCCTCCACTCAGAGGGTAAAATGCTTTCCACAAAAGCATGAAGACCTAAATTCAGAATCTCAGCACCTATAAAAACGTCACTGTGGTGACACACACCTAGAGTTTCAGTGCTCGAGAGATAAAGACAGGCAGAACCCGGGAGCTCAATGGCCAGCCAGTCTACCTAATTGGCAGTATCCAAGTTAAGAGACAGAGTGTCTCAAGAAACAATTTAGAGAATAATTACAGAAGACAGCCAACCCTGACCTTTGGCCTCAACATGCAGGCACACATACATTCATATACAACCACACACATATACAACCCCAACACACACTTGTCATTAGGCAACACCCCATACACTTGTAAGCAACACAGAACACACTGCCTCACACATACCTGAGGCTGTGCCGCAGCATGGTGGTACCCACCATGCAGATGAAAAGATGCTCGTGACCACATCAGGTGGAAAAAGTGTCACGTTTCTCTGAATCTGGAGCAAGTTCAAGACTAAGGCGAGGAACACTCCAATGAAGAAGAGCACCACCCCTCGGATCACCACGTTCACACTCTGGCTGGTGACAGAGGAAATGTATGGGCCACACTTTATGGACCCAGGTGACTCGGGCTTTCCTTCCGACATGGTCTCATAAGTTCAGTAGGCCTAAGCCGTAAAATAAAACAAGGCTTCTCAGTGGAAAAGATGAACTGTCTGTGAATCGAAGCAGACCAATGTTTCAATGGTACCACATCTTGCCTGAAGGTGGAACCTACCAGAAATCCTACAAGAGATAAGAAGAGAGAATCAGCATGCAGCTAACACACAATTGTACAAGTTTTCACACTCAGTACTAGTTAGGCAGACACAGAATGAAACAAGTCTGTATACTAATTTATTTAAATTATTTACTCAGTAAGAAAATCCTTTTTTAAAAAAGCCTTTATATGCATGCTGCAAAAAATAAAAAAAGTGAAGTGTTCCATGTGTATTTACTAGGATACAACAGGTGACTTAGGAGATCCCAGCCAGAGACCCCAGCAGTAAGAGGTCTTGCAGAGAACCCAGGTTCCCAGCACCCACAAGACAGCTCACAAATGCCTGTAGCTCCAATTCCAGGGCAGTCGACGCCATCTTCTGGGCTCTGTGGACACTAGGCATACATGTGGTACACATACACACTCATGAACATAAAACAATAGAAATCTTTAAAGGGAGAGGCACCAACAGTTGGGTCAGCAACGAAAGCTCGGCTAGTAAAATGTGTAAAGCACAGCATGAGGCCTGAAGTCTGATCCCCAACACCTACTAAAAAAGCCAGGTGTGGTGACATGCTTCTGGGACACATGCCAGTGCTGGAGAGGGGAGACAAGAGGATCCCTGCAGCTCACTGGCCGGCTGGCCTAGCCCTACTCAAAACAACAGTAGAGGACTACAGAAGATACACAATGTCTAATCTCACACACACACACACACACACACACACACACACACACACACACCCCTCAATACCCCCTCAGCATTAAAATAATAGAAAAACAGTTTCCCCTACCTCACAGAACAGCCAGTCAGGTAATTCAAAATACATCTACTGGGATCTACAATATGAAACCCCACATCTCTAGGTCTTCAGCCTAACCTCCACTCCATCAGTAGCAATTGAATCTCTTATACTTTTTAGAAAACCAACACATTCTGACTGAAGACACTGTAGTTTTGATAATAAAATGTGACTTGCTCATAAGGACACTGTCCACAGAAGGATCCATCCCTATGTTTAATGCTTATGTTGCTGAATTTCTGCAAGCAAGCGTCCTATGAAACCCAACCCACAAGCACCCACCTACACATATACCAGCCAGAAAAGCCAGACTTCAACCACTCTTCCAGGATGACAGCTGTGCCGCCGACCTGCAGCAGTGTGCTGAGCCAAGTGCTGCAACCGCAGGGATACTATGATGAGGAAGCAGAGGAAGCGAGCGCCAAGAGAATGCAACCCAACCCAGTACCACCTTCTGAGGGCCGGCCTAGGTGCTGTTCACTCCTCTAAGAAAAGTGACTGCTGGGTCCTGCTGGGGTCTCCAAAGAGATTGCTACGCTGCTGGTTTAGTGATGCTGGGAGACAAGACCTTTCAGAGGGAGGATCTAAGCTAGAGGTGATGGCGGGGTTGCTGGGGTTGGCACGTTTACGATGATGATCAAGAATTCGAGGTCATCTACACAAAAAGCTGGACACCAACCTGGGCTATAAAGTATCTTTTAAATGGGGAAGGAGACACACATCCCAAAGGAATGTTCTTAGGCTTGTTGAGGGCACTGCTCTGGGAGGAAAGAGGCTGTGAGACCTCCACCCCTTCGCTCCCTATCTGGAATTGTGATCTTGCTCTTTCACCCACACTTCTGCCATAGAGATCCTTACCAGAGTACAACTGATGCTAGCCAGTTACACCCCTGAATCTCCAAAATGGTGAATAGAATAAGCCTGCTTTCTTTGCAAAGTTAGTCTGCCTTCAGTATTTCCTTACAGTAACACAGACTAATCAGCTAATGCAATGATCCTTCGTGTGTGTTAAGGATAAGTACGTGCACTTTTCCAAGCACCTGACACAGGAATTCACTTAACCCTCACAGTATCCCTAAAAGGATGGTGTGACCATCTTGGGCTGTACAGTGACACTGTCTCAAGAACTAAAATAATAACAGTAATAATAACAACAACCTGAGAGCTAAGTGTAATTTTACAGGTGAGGGAAGCAAAGCAAGGTTAAGTCTACACGCCTGGGTAAGAAGCATAGCTTGAATCAAATCCATTGTCCTACTCCCGTGCTCTCATCATGATGGTGAGCCACTCAAACTGCCGTGGACCTTGTTCTCAATGAACACTACCAGTTTTCAAATGTGAAAACAATAGGTATGCTTTTTGCTCTGTCATTTATCTTCATCTTAATTGACTACACGACACCCTGGGCATCTCTGTAAGTCAGTACCTAAGTGGTATGTCTTGTCAATTCTGAAACATTTTATCTGAATGAAGTTCATTTCATATGTATGTGTGAGTGGGTGGGCTTGCCACAGTGCACATGCGGAAGTCAGAAGACAGCTTTTGGAAGTCAGTTCTTTTCCACTATGTGGGTCCTGAGGGATCACATCCAAGGTGTCGGACTTGGGACAGGCTCAGCTTTACCCCCTGAGCAATCTCACACAGGCAGAACTCCTAATAGCTACCTCGTAATTATCTGCAGAGCTGCTTTATGGGTTATAAACTTTTCATGTTGGTCTTATACACCGACACCAACCTCCATTGTATCTCTGCATGCAGCAAGCTTCCTGCTTGGCCCACAGGGATAGTTGCTTCACTAGTTTAAGCCAGGTTCATTCTTCTATGATCAAACTCTTGTGGGCTCAGCTCAGCAGTCCTTTGAAAAGGCAAATCTAGAACCTAATCACCTAAAACACAATGCCTCTAAGTTTCTAATTTTCAACCTACCTTAAATGCAAATTTTGAAATAAAACTGAATGTCTAAATGAGCCCACAGGTAACTCAGCAGGCAAAGGGGCTTCTATATAGTCCACAGCCATTATGAGCCCACAGGTAACTCAGTAGGTAAAAGGGCTTGCAGCCAACGCTGATGATGGGTACATCATCATATGGTACACAGAATGAATCAACTCCTACATATTGTCCTCTGAGCTCTACACACATGTGGCATGTGCGTACCCACACATGTAAGTACACACAGACAATATAATAAACAAATGTAATAGGAAACTTTTTTTTTAATTTTAAGACAGGGTTTCACATAGCACAGACTAGCAAAGGTTGGTCTTAACTTCTGATTCTCCCACCCCCACCAATCCCCTTCTGAATGTACCCCTACTCCTAGAGCTGAGATTATTTGGTAGCTGTGCTACCAAATCTGGTCTGTGCAGTGCTGAGACTCAAACCCAGTGTTCCCTCACTCATCTCCACAGTACTCGGGAATAAAAGTGTAAATAGACAACATCAGGGTTAACAGAGATGCTTTGAAATACAAAATAGCAACAAGCATCAAACAAAGTACCACAAAGGGCTCCCTTACACACTGTGTGTGACCAACAGTGTCCTCTCCTGCCTAGACCCTAGGCAGGCACAGAGCCTCCCTACCCCTCCGCACAGCACGAGTAACACAAGAAACCACTTATTCTGCCCATGATTTTTCCCAAAGCAGAATTAACAGCAACATATACCTTAGGTTCAGCAGTATTCTTAGAAGGATAAATAACTTTAATTAGCTAGTCCCACCTATTTCCAGAGATAGTTGGCCAGAAACTGCCAGAGGAGCCTTGGTGAGTTTAGGTCAGACAGACTCTTACTGTGTGGAAACTCTTCTGAACCTGGCATATTAGTTAGCATCCCTGGCTCCTGGCCACAAAATGCAGGCCTCCCCCACTTGTGATACCCAAAATTGTGCCCACAGTATTTCCAAACACCCTGAGGGAGATCTGTGCCCCGGTGGGGCTGCTGCTTGCTGGAGCCTTCTCTCATCCCGCCTGTCTACTGCAGACATTTGTGTTTTCTCCCACTGCTGTTTATCCAACTTTTCCTGGCAGCCCTTCTTCAGTTTCCTACTTCACCCCCACAAGTATTCTTTAAAAATAACACCGCATTTGTTTAATGTTTATTTGAAGCAGAACCAAAGGGCTAACTGTGGTTACATCACAGCACAATGATATATAATTACCAGGGACAAAAATAAAGACTACAATACTTCACCATCAATGTTCTAAAATTTAAGGACTGGAAGGGGGCCAGGAGACCATCTATTCTAGGATATATTTGAGATTCATGCAAAGTAAAAACAAAAATGTGTATGTATGCATTTTTTCAGAGTTCACACACATACTCAAAAATCTCCAGTATCTAAAGTCAACAATGGGCCATCAAGCTAGGCAGGCAGGCAGGCTGGTGAGGTGGCCCAGACCTGTTGGGGGAAGGAGGGGGAAGCACAACCAACCTAACAGTTCTCTCACTCACTGTAATACTGTCACAAAACCTTCAGGTGAACTAACAAGATCAGCAAAGAATCAATGGAGCTGGGCATACTGGAGCAGGGATATAATCCCAGCACTTGAGAGGTAGAGGCAGGAGGAGCTGAAATTCAAGGCTGTTTTCAGCTACAGTTAAGTTCAAAGCTAGACATGGATACTCAAAACAAAAGGCAATGCAATACTGGATTTGGGAGGGGGGGATCATTTCTGGATCTTTTTACTCCAATTACACATAAGCACATACAATAAATAACCAGGTTGGTCAAACAGATAAAAAAAAAAAAAAAACCCAGAAAAGAATTCACTATTTCCTAGACGAAGTTTCTATGCAAAGAAAAGCACGTAAATGGGCTGGTGAGGCAGTCCAGAGGGTAAGGAGCTTGCTGTGCTAACCTGAGAATTTGAGTCAGATCCAGAATCCCACTTTGGAAAGAAAGAATCAGCTCCTCAGAAGTTGTTCTGGCATCCACATACGTGCTGTTCCATGCAACCCCCCCCCCACACACCCACCGATGACAACAGTATTATACTAGGAGGGTGGGATATTTTAAAGGCTCTGGGAACAAATGTAGCATAATTTATTTTAAAATCTCTTTAGCTATTCACATTTTCTTAAAACAAAAGTAGTCATATTTTTATATATTCTACTTAGAGCAAAAATTTGGTTCTTCAAATTTTTAAATTTTACCAAAAAACTTAGATTATAAATTTAAAGCATAATACCACAATGGCTCCTAATGAGTTAGTGTTAATAAA